TGCTGTCTCACCATCTCTAAGTGCAGACTAACCATACAACTATTACTATCAAATTATCAAACCCAACAACACAACTTAACTCATTATCTTTGACACCCTACACATCGTCTACACCCCAAACCATCATGTGCCCTGCACGGTCTGGTATAGACGAGTACCGGTAATGTCCATAGAAACATCTCTGCCATTATGACATCACTAACCAACACAACTAAAATCTTATCCACCCACACTGCCTTTATCAAGTGTGCTCTGTCCTTAAGACATGACCTCTTACTGCCCACCTGGCTTCTTAACAATAGTACAGGGACAGCGACTTGCATACATTATTCATAAAACATAATGTATAACCCAACAACAATAGTTAAAACACATGATTACACTCATTTCCAGCATTACTTAAACTACACAAGTTTAAAAAAAAAAAGTGCACATGTGAAACTCAAATTAAGATAACACAACTAAATTAACTCAAGTTACTAGATTCTTAAAAATATGCCTAACGTCTCTTTGATAGATCCTCGTTGGTGACGAGATGGAACTTACCCTCATACTAAACTAAACACTTTGTAGTATATCTATCTATCTAGGTCACCTCCAACGATGCACCGCTCACGCATCCTGACACTATGAGTCCTAAACAACTTGTCCCACTATGACGTCATATACAATGTCAAGAATATACACTACCTTAACCTTACCCGAAACATATGGGGTACTCATTGACACAATCGCCTTCTCTCCTTTTAGCCGTGCGTCATTTAATAGAACAACCGCGCACCTCTCTCCTGTTAACTTGCTGTCATCAACTAAGTCTCTCCTGACCACTAGATCACTGCACAGATAATGTCTAAACACTCTAACCTTTTGGTCTTCAACTAACCCATTTACACTTTTCTTAATTCCGACACCTATCGAAACACCACCAATAAAAATTTCATCTTCACTTTCATTTGCTTTCTGTACTCTGCTCATAATCACACATGTCCTATTGTTCTCCTTCTTCACTAAAGAATTCTCTTTCTTCTCTACACACTTCTTTTCCTTTTCTAATCTGAAACACGTTGATACCATTTTCCACATCTCTGCAACTCGAATTTTGTATCTTCCTCCGTGTCACGGACGATTGGGCAATTTCTCACGACGTGCCTCTGTTGGTGACACTTGTAGCAACGCCCCTGAAATTGACACCTCACGGCGGTGTGGCCTGGTCGTAGACAGTTGAAACAGACCCGTGCCCTGTAGCAATCTCTAGCTAGGTGTCCACTTCCATAACAACGAAAACACTGGCGCTCGTCGCAGCAATTTCGAGCCAGATGGCCAGTTGAGTAGCATCAGTAACACCGCCGTGCGTTAGTGCAGTACCTGGCAATGTGACCTGCACGATGGCACCTGTAGCAAAGTGGTACGTCACACTGCTTCACTTGGTGGTACACTGCTGGTCTCCAGAAATCCGACTGTCTGCACAACACTGACGTCATGTTTCCCTTCACACCTGTTGAATCCTAGTGACGTCTGTTCTCTATCTCTATTACGTCAGCTTTGTCTATCTCCTGTTGCCTAGATCCCGGAACAAGCCCCCAGATGTCACAGAACGGTTGTTACGGAGGAGGGCTCCGGTCCTGACTTATCACCAACTATATTGACTTAGCAGTGGTCAGTACAGGACCGCTCCTCTCTGTGATTTATATTATGGGTGTCTAGGCGTTGAGAAAGACAAAAGCACAACGTAGACTTGAACGAAAATCAAACAACTCAAACTCCAGGTGTCCAACGATAATGAAATTATGTTTATTTCTAAGATATAAGTTCTTCTGTAGTTTTCACTAACTGCCAGCTATCCAAATGAATCTCTAAAGCTATGACTGTTCAACTGTATCCTTTCAACTATTCCTATGTAAAACTAGTCAACTGTCGTCTCCTGATCTCTCTCGACTGTTCTACCGCTACACTACTGATATACCTCTCAACTGCCGCTGTACCTCTCAACTCCCCCTGTATCCTAAAACTTCTCCCTTATATCTACCCGTCATGTGACTATAAACTCTAGTGGCTAACCATCCCACGGTCATTGAATTGCCACATCATTAAAGTTAACATTTACCGCCGGACGTCCATTCCATGTCCTTACCCACCTATTAGCAGCTATCACGTTGAGACATTTTCCATTACTGATAATTAATCTAACTCTACCCCTGGTCTTCAAGAACATTCCACTTCCACCTGCTAACTAAAATATGTTAATCGAAACCATTGTGATACCCGCTACCACGCTGTCTACCCGGGGTCTCCCTTTTCCCCAAGATACCGTGTCTTCCCTGTCTACCATAAACTCTGCCGATGTCAGGCTAACAATTCCCTAAATCTATTGTACCTTTGTGTGGCACCCACGCCCATCGCTCCCTTCTCCAGCATGGTCATTTGTGACAATGACGGGAAGTGGTTCTGAACATTTACCGTGTACAAACACACGAACAAAAGCGAAGTTGATATAATTTAATGTAAAGGATTTAAAAAGTGTGGGGCGCCCATGAACTTAATGCTTTTTCAAAGCGCAAAGACACGCACGCAGCGGTATCGCTAATTTTATTCCACTTGTCGTGATCACGATCGATGGGAGCCTACAATACAACAGTCATGCAAGGCAGTTGTGAGAAGTCATGTTTCCATTATCAAATAATCTGTAACATATCATTTGTGTAACAAAAAAAAAAACAAAAAAAAACAAAACAAACAACAACAAACAACTTACTTTGCAGCAATGCAAAACATATGTCAAAGTTTAAATACTTCCAGGTGAAGTAGATGCTCTCATCTTTGAATAACGTTTGGTTATCGTGTTGAAATTGACATCTTTATTTCTTTAAATGGTAAAAATTAAAACTTGGTGATATCTTCGTATTGATTATATATATATATATATATATATATATATATATATATACAGAGAGAGAGAGAGAGAGAGAGAAAGAGAGAGCTACTATATTCATTTTTTAAACAATCACTGGATTCTATTATTATTGAGCAGTCGACAGCATTCTAAAAAAAAATAGCTATACTTTTTTTGTATGTCTAATATTATTCATATAGTGAACTATCGAATTATGTACCAAAACCATGACCCACAGAGTTGACCCAGGTCCAGAGAGGAGGGGCTTGGATTTCACCAATTAGGGGGAATAGTCGCCCATGCAGTCTATAGTCCATATATTTCCAAGTATTTCTTTTGTTCGCTGGTACCCCATTATTGTCTTGAGAATCCCCAGACATAAAAAGCCTAGAACACAACATTGGATGACCGATCAATCATGGAACAATCATGTCCACTCTAGAAAGACCTGCACTATCGGATGCTCAAAAGCTGCCCCACACACACACCGGAACTATTTCGTGGTAACATCAGGTGCGGGGGAGGGACTCCAACAACACTATTATTTCTGACGACAGTTGTTCTCATTGCTAACGATTGTCACCGTCTCCTCCCCCCCCACCCCAACTGCCATTTAACTCCACCCTTCTCCTCTTCTCCCACCACCTCATTCCATCTCCATCTTCACACAAGATCTTGACTTCCCCTCCCCTGTGTAACAAAGTGTCACTCTGTATTAGACCCCTTTCCTCCCAACCCCGGAGTGTGACGTACTCAGTGATCATTTCAGAAATTAACAGGGGGGGGGGCACTTGAGATTTTTCGGGGGGTGGGGGGGCAGTGCCAGTTGATTTATTGTTGGACATATTTTTGCTCCGGGAGGGGACTTGGCTTTCCCGGGGGGGGGGGGG